CGGTGTGCTTGGAAACAGCACCGTGATGGAGCGGAAGCCAAGAGGCCGGGCATTGCTCCCACCACTTCTCGGCCCAGGACTCCTGCGCGGAAAGGACATGAAAAAAATATGGATCGAGTTACTATAGGTTGGAGGCCATCGCTAGTAGGTTGGAGGCCATGGCTCTTAGTAGAAGAGTGACCACCCTGGACATGTAGAAAATGGTCTGTCGGAATCTTGGAGAAGAAAGGTTCTCTGTGTTGTTGCACACATTTCCAGATGGGTTCTCTGGAAGATCAAATAATTCCAAGCTTCAGTCACAGATTTCAGCATGGCCGTCGGATTGATATCTATTGTTTTAAAGCACAGATTCAGTATTGAAAGGGACAGTCTCCCCAGAGCATTCCAAACAGCACTTTGTCCGGAGAACCAGTCCCAAAGCTTCCTCACTCTGGACTCTTTGGACCTCATCACCATCTGCCCCAGCAAACCCAGCCCACTCCTCTTGAAAGCCGCAAACTGCCTCTGGCAGCATTCCGCTCCTCAGCAAAAGCGTCCACCATTCAATTCTTAGGACCTTGCCCTGTCTATATACCTCCCATTAAGAAAAAGAACAACAGTTGAAAAGGCTTCCCATTTAGGTCGGAAAATGACTTGCAGGGGATGATTGTTCCTTTTGATTGTTTCTGTGTTCTCTATTTTTTAGACCGTTCTTCTTTGGACCTGTCCTTTTCCTGCTTCCCTTTAGACCTTTAGACCAGTTCTTCTTTTTTAGACCTGTTTGTTTGTTTTTTCAGAAAGCTGAAAAGGCTTCCTATGTAGGTCGGAAAGTTACTTGTAGTGTACCCTGCTAAGATGCAGCACTGAGAGAGGCCGGTAGAAGAGCATCTCTCATTCCACCTCGTTGCCTTCTTTTCTTCCTGCAAAACTCCTCCAGACTCTCGCAGGGTGAACTGGATGACTTCCAGACATCCCACATCAAGTCTTTCGCAACTATATATCTAATTATTAACCCGATGGGAACTCAGATGTACGAACGCGCTCTGTATTTTTGCCAGTATATGTCCCTATGTCAATCTATGTTGTCTCCGTTTCTTCAGTATAGTCTACACCGAGCCTCAGCTTCTGGTTCGACAGGTTCAGCGTCCCACTCTCTGCGCAGCGTTGATAGGCCCGGCGCACCTTCTCTGCCGCATTAGCATCGCCACCTCTTTGGGCGAAGAAGTTTTCATTGCGCTGCAAGCGCGCGACCATTGCTGAGCCAATCCCGCTGTTTGGGTCTCCGGTTTGGAAAGTCTAAGGATGGGGCGCTTAGATCGTTGAGTACCAAGGGTGTGTTTGGAGCCCTAAAGATTGTCCTGCTAGTTCTGCTGGCTGAAACTGTGGACCTTGCCATTCAGCAAGCTCGGTTTGCGGAGGTATTCTGGTGGTGTGAAGACTGTGGAGAAATCATTTCAGGTTTTGCCGGAGTTCGTTCATCAACAGCGGAGGAGGTTGCTGGGGCCTGCCCAAAGCTGAATAAGAACGAAGCTATTCTAGAGCAATTGGTAATTCTCAGCGGACCTCTTTGTTTTACCATGTTTTACCGTACCCGTGTTCTTTTTGGTCCATACGAACCTCCGTCGAGGAAACAAAACAACGAAACACCCAGAGTCCGAGTAGTCCCAGTGGTAGATAGTTGGTCACTTTCAAGAATTTGCACTTCAGGAAAAGCTCTGAGAGTTGACATAGCCCTGAAGTGGTGCATCTTTCGGGAACTTTTTGATTGATGGGCCTTTGCTACTTGCTTGTCTTCACTTGGGCCACGCGGTTGCGGATCCCGGCGTTTCGGCGCTCGAAGCCTCGCGTCCGTTCGAAACCTCTGGCCACAACGGCGTTTGCAGGTGGTTATCTGGGAACGGAGACTGGCTCGGCCAAATCTGATGGTAGGATGGGCGGGGCAGAACTCCGCACAGTGTTGAAATCTTTGGACACAGATTGGTTATGATTGGTTCCTATTGTACTGGGCACCTGGACCATCCATTTGGGGTGTCCAATGGAACATGTCATGTAGGGTAGTGCATATTGGACACTCCTTCAATGGTCTTGGTAAGTAAGTATCAGGTTGTGAAGAAGTATTGCGACATGCCAAAAGCACTGAAGTAGAGTGGGGTTGTGACATCCAAACATGAATAAAATGTCACAACCGCTGCTATCAAAACCGCTCAACTGGATTGTTCGAAGAGGGAACGGAAGTCCTTGGGTGTCCTTCTCCTACAAAACCCAGACACCAGATCTGCCAGAAGTTGCCACGCGTTAAAAAAAAATACCAAAAAAAACACAAACTCAAGAATTGCTTCAGAACAGATTTGTCTCAAGTCCGCACAAATACATCATTACTCTCCATTACAAATACCACTCATCTCCGAAAATGGCATGTTTCATGGCTAAGTTGCCTACAGGTGCCAGCACATGCGATCGAACCTCACCTTCGAATTTCATCCGAAAAACGCCCAGATTCGCTCGGCGGGGCTGTTGGGAGATGCCGGTATTGATGCCCCCACCCCACCCTGAACCCAAAATGAGCGTTTTGGGTGGTGCGAATTGATGTCCCAAATTCTCCGCCTGACAGACTGGTGGGAATGAGGTGCCTCACATCAACGCCCGCTCAAGGAGCAAAATTGGTCTGCCCAAAGTGATCTAATCACTAATCTTCTCATGCAGATCTTTCCCTGCTTCGCCTCAAGAAACTTGTTCGCCAAGGGCGGGAAACACCCTTTTCTCGAACTCGCTGCGTTCGGACAGGGCCGGCGATCGGGTCCCTCCAATAAAGACTTTTGGCGCGGATTCTGAACTCCCAGCATCCGCTTCGCTATCCGGCAAGCCGCTACTAGCAGCTCCTGGCCTTACTACTATAGTAACAAGGACGCTACTAGTAGCTATTTGCTCCGGGTTTCCTAGTAGCGATGCCAGAAGCTACTAGTAGCTTCTTGTTCCTAGTTGCCCATTTTCTTCTCTGGCATCTCTCAAGGTCGACCCGGTCGCATGCGCCCTCTCCACCCCTCCGTCCTGCGCCATGCCCTGCATAGTCGTGATTGGCCTCAGCTGACTGGACCTTCGAGCCAACAAGTGAACAGCTTTTCACACCGTGGTGGTTGGGGATGCTTGTCTTCAAAACCACGGCATGGTAAATGTCGATGCTTGGCTGGACAAGTGGATGCTTGATGGTCGGGGATGGCGTGACTTGTCGAGATGACATGTGTCCACTTGGCACCGACTCCGTCTCCGAAGCGCCGACTGGATGAGGCTTCGCCGAGACTGACTACCGCAAGGAGTGTCTACAGTGCAGGGTGTTGTTTAATCGTCCTTTCGAGCGTCTAGGGTGTCCAGTCCCACCCCAATTTGTGGGTGCTGGAAGGTTCCACTTGATCATATCACAGCCAAATGACATGAGACAGATGCGAAAAAGCATGTTGGTGTCTTGTGCAAAAAGGACTTCAAGACCTGAACCATCCCCGAATCACCTCGCAAAAGCTATAACAACTGTGTGTTTTTTGTGTGTGTTTGCGAGGAAATGGGTTTCAGATGGTTTCAGGATTCAGGTGGGTCGCCGACTTCTCCACACGTGGTTTGATTCCTCCCTCAAGGCCTCTCCGCGGATCACCCTTCCTAATTCAGCAAGGCAGCCAAGCAAAAAAACACCTGCTGCAACACCTAGTGTTTCACTTCAATTGGATCATTGCCCACAGCCTTTGTATTCAAACAGCTGGAAGCTCTAACCCATCTAACGATCTTATTAAGATCCCTCCACCATCAGCTCTGGGCTGTATTGTTAAAAGGCACTAGGCACTTGGTGAGCGCTCACGGCTTTGGTGTCCTGGGCGCCCCCTGCGCCACGCAATAGGTCTCTCCCTCCGTGTAGGACATCGCCAAGTCCGTCTGAGGAATTCGGTTTTCATCAGATCAGGTCATGTCGAGGTGATCGGGGGTGATCGGTGGTCAGGCTGCGTCTTGGGCCACCTATTTGGACCTGAAAAGAACTGATTCAGGTCTACTAAATGACAAGGTCTAGATACTATATGTCAGACCAAAGCAAGGAACAGAACAAGAGCCTGGAACCGGATGCATCAAAAAGACATGGACATTTCAGCAAGCCTTCCCCAGTGATTTGGCCGTACCTGAACACTTTGCTGGCCCATGTCGCAGAGAACAGCCGCATCGACCCGGGCTTCGCTGCATCTGAGGTGCCAGGAGGTGGGAATGGGCTGCGAAGGTCACTCTTCCCGCATCCATGACTCGCTGGCTGGAGACATCCTGCGTGGCCCACGAACTCACCAGACCAAACCACCCTTCCTTCACCCCGAACACCCGGGCCAAGCAAAAACAACTCGTAGAAATGGAGCTGAGATGTGCGTTTGTTACTAGTAGCTTCTTGCTCCTAGTAGTAAGGCCAGGAGCCCCGAACGTAGCGTCCTTGCTCCTAGTAGCGATGCCCTTTGCTCCTGGTAGTTTTCCACTTGGGAGCCACGAAATGAATTGTGGAATCTCACGCTCTCGATGCACTATCCTCCACGTGTGCGTCGTTGAAGTTTGGGTATCCAGTGCTGTGACTTCTGACAAGCGCACTTCGGCTGGGAAAAGAACGCACTCAGCTGGTCAAAAACTGTTGAAGAAGACAACCTTCTGACCTGCTGAATTTTTCTGGTTTTCTCACCTGTCAGTAACGAACCACAAGAAAAACCCAGCAAAAACCTCACAAACGGCCCAGGATTAGAAACTGAACACCGACCGAAGACTTGCGGTTTCCTTGAACACTTGGTCGAATAAAGGACCGAGAAAAACAAAAAAACATTGTCCTTTTCTCGATCCAAGCGTATAAATAGGAGCGTCCTTGTTACTAGTAGTAAGGCCAGGAGCTACTAGTAGCGTCCTTGCTCCTAGTAGCGATGCCCTTTGTTCCTAGTAGCGTCTTGTTACTAGGGTGCGTCAGTGGAAACTCGGCGACCGCATGAAAATGCCCTGCTTTTCGCGCAGCGTCGCGACAGCGGCCGTGGACGACTGGAGTTGGTGCTCGGCTTTGGGCTTTGGGTTCTGCCGGTGGCCGCCTGACCGCGTGACACGTTGGCGCAGTGACGAGACCATTAGAGTGACCAGATGTGCACGAGCGGAGAAACTCGTGAAAAAGAGCGGAGGGGCAAAAAGTGGAAACATGAACAAACAACGCTGAAAAACATCATCTCTTAAGTGCCCACTTCAGTTTGATCTATCACATCTCGAGTTCGCAAGTGGCAAGTAAATACACAAGTTAAAGCAAACGAAGTCTAGTTGCGTGGGTGGCTCCAAGGTGATGCCCAAAGAAGTTGCCAGCCCCAGCCTTCCAACTGGTGCTTCGAGTTTGGTGAGAGCCTCCAGCCAACTGATTACTCTCAGAAGGGTCTCTGGCACTCTTGCTCACCCAGACAATGTTTCATGATGCTTCTACCCGCAGCGTCTGAGTTGATTCTTGCTATTCCAGGAAGGGTCCCGAATCGATTCGGAACCGTCCGTTCGGAACCGAAACCTCGCGAATGTCAAGCACCGAAAATTTTCATCAACCGAATCATCACAACCGTCAATTTTCCCAACACAAGCGAACCGGAACAAAATACGAACCGGAATTCCGCCCTGCTCCGAGATCAGCAACGTTTTTTCGAGGAGTGTCCGAGGTCACAGAAGCATTTGCACATTGGCGTGCACAAACAACATGTCACTGACGCGGCCCGGCTTCAGACGCGGACGGCGCCTGGTGATGAACAAACCGGCTTTGGAGAAAAGCCGTTCCAAAGCTGCGCTGGGGCCAGGCACTCCAAGAGCTGCTTGCGCAAACTGGCCTTCTCCTGTGAAATTCACGCGCTCATAGTGTGTCATCTCAGCTTCCACTTGCTTGCGAACCTTGCTGTCAGTGAGTCAACTATAAATATGCTTTTTGTTTCAAAAAGCCTTTTGGGAAGGTGGTGTCATCAGTGGCTCTCGTTTGAAAATGCTTCTTGGGGACAGTGGAAAACGCATTTTGCCCCGAAAGACGATGAAGGACGACGCGGGAAGAAAAAATGCTGAAAGCGCTGCTGCAGGGACTGCCTTCAGGTCATCGAGCACAGCCACCTCAAGGGCACGACCCCCGGTCAGGGTGTGGCACAAACAGCCAGTCTTCAGCACTAGTGCGCTCTTTGAGTGCGCGAGGCCCAGGCTGCAGCCTCACTACAGGACCTGATGCGGCTGAGCAGGCAGCGTCTCGCAAAATAGCTTCACTGGTAGGTTTAGGTTTCTCTTGCCGCCCTGCTCCCCTTCCACGACCTCTTCCTCTTGTCTTCTTTGGCTCCGGGCGCAACAAGGTCTCAAGCTTGTGGTTCATAGCACCCTCCGCTGCTTTCTTCAATCTTTCCCGAAGTTCTGGGCACTTTTCGTGTGATTCCACAACCATTTGCAAATCATGTCCTTCACTTCCTTCTTATTCAATTTCTCCCACATGGTGTGGCCACGAAATCGAGGGTCAACATAGCTGCTGCAAGAAGCCATGCCTCTCCAGTAGTTCCTTGAAAGTGCTTCTCTCTGACTTTGCTCAAGTCTTGGTGCAAGAAGCGAAGCAAGTGCTTTGGTAGCGCCTCCAACTCGCGAGCTTTGCAGCCCTGGCCATGCATCTGACGGTAGGGTCTCCACGCACTTGTGGAAGACCGGGAGGTAAAGAGAAGCTGGCGCTTGGTCATCCCCTTCCAAGAGTTTGGTGGCCAAGCGAAAAGGCTCCAGAACGGCGCAGAACTGGAGCGCAACGCGCAGCTCACTCCTGTCGAGCTCGTGGGGCATGTCGGCAACATTTGGGCGACGATTCCTGTCAGGGATGGTAAATGCTTTTATGGGTGGAACGCAACAAACGCATATTGAGACAATTTGCTCTGCAAGTGAGACTAGCGTGGCCAACATAGGAATATGCATTTTTTGGTGGAGTGCAAACGCATATTTGTTTTTCCAAGAAACAGAACCTCAGCAACGCGTGGGCTGCATTTTTGTCACAGAAACCAGCCGCAACCTCCTCCATCGTCTGCAGAGTTTGAAGGTCTTTCTCAATCAAAGTCTTCTTCCCGCAAAAAGTGGCGAGCACATTTCCCTGCAACAGCCTCTGAACCACGTGTGCTTCAGCGGCATCAGCGGCATGAGAGAGGACGGCTAGAGCTGCCGTTGAGATCTTGAGCTCAGGCAAGGAGTTTTCCTGTTGCTTGCGAGGAAGCCATGGGTCAACATGACTGTTGCGCTCCTTGCCGACGGTCTGCAAGATCTCTTTGGTCAAGCGACACATGGAAGCCTTCGTCAAACAAGCAACGTCAGGGCGGCTCTGCAAGTATTAAATCTGCTGGTCTGCCTACGCCGTGCGCCAGGCAACTCCAACATGCATTTTTCAGATTGGCAAAAAGCATTTACGGAACCAAGCGCTCAGAACAAAAGGCATCCCATCATAAACGCCTTTAGGCAGCCATACATGCATTTGCATCAGACAGAAAAAGCACATTCGACGACACTGGCCACTTTTGCCTGTGCCCTGCACAACCACAGCTGCGCCCTTACGAGGTCTGCCGCGGCCCCGCTCTGCTGCCTCGTGCGGTTGCACTGCTGCAGGGCTGAACAGGAACAGCCCCACGCAAAGCCAAGCGCAGCTGCTCAGGCAACCGGTGCGAAGGCACCATGAGGGACATCGTGTCGACAACAAGAAAGTGAAGACCGCCTCTGAGCCGTGGGAAGCGTTGTTTGTGAATATGCTTTTTCCTGGCGGTCTAAAAGCATATTGGACAGCAAAGCCACGAAAAGGAGTGGAACGGAACGCCATTTTTCAATACGGCTCACTCACCCTAGGGCCTTTGATTGAAGGTCTTCTCTTTTGCTTTGGTCTTTTATGATATGTCCTGTGATATCATGCCTTGTTTTGTCTTCTCTGGTCTTGTTTGTTCTATCTATGTCTTGTCTTGTCTCATAGGTTAACTTATGCCTTCCAGAACCGAAGCGAACCGCGAACCGGACCGAAAATGCAAGAAAAAATGATTCTTCAACCCAACCGAACCGATTCGAAGTTTCTATTAAACGTTCAAACCGATTCCAACCGAACCGAAACCTTACTGCATTCCTGTCAACTGCTTCCGCGAGCATAGTAGCAGTTGAACAGCCAAATGACGTTGTAGTTTCCATTAGACGCTGAAGTCGGCATACTCATGCGTCAGGCCAAGAAACAGGCAAGGCCCATGTTGGGTTCACCATCATAGCCAACCACATGGAAAGATTGTAGGAAGGCCAGGTGGTAGGGATGGGATGACTCTTGGATTCAGGAAAGGCTGAAATTTGGACTCAACCTCGTTTTATGGTTGGTTCCCATCCACTCACTACTGATGGCTCAAACAAAGATTTAAGCCTGACACTGCTTGCAGCCCAGACACATCAGTGGATACAATTTGGATTAGATATCGTCTCACCTTCATGCCTATCACCGCGTCCCAATGTGTTTTCTAGCGCTCAAACTGCTTCACTTCTCTTGCTTCACACGCACCGGTGTTTGCGCTGATTCCTTTGAAGTTCTAGCAGTGGCTTCGTAATGGCTGCTGCTGCCGCTGCTGCTGCTGCTGCGATACAGCATGACCAGAATCTCTAGGAGATCCACGGGCTGGGGCTGGAGGCCAAACACTGAGGCCTAGAATTGAATCTAGTCTTGTATTGATATAGCCAGCACGCCTCAAATTCAAATCTAAGCTCCTCCCTGACAAAGCCACTGTGGCTCAAACTTGAATCTAAGCTTGTCTCAACACTGATACTGCCACTGCGCTGGAATTCAAATTATGGCCCATTTGGGATCAGATTAAACTTGAATGTGAGCCCTAGGATAATAAAAAGAACATGATTTCAATTCAAAGGAAGGACACCGCACTAGAAACCAAATGCAAGCTACAGGGAAGTCAGGCAATAACAGTCAGATAAAAAGGCTCGAATTCAGATTTAACCCATTTGTGATCTGAAATCCAGCTTGTCTTGCCAGGAGCTACTAGTAGCGCCCTTGCTCCTAGTAGCGATGCCCTTTGTTACTAGTAGCTTCTTGTTCCTAGTAGTAGTGCCAGGAGCTACTAGTAGCAAACTCTGTAGGGTTTCCCGAAGCACTCCCTAGCAAGCCCAAAAATGTCAGACCCGTCAAGGAATCTGTGGGATCCGCAAAACAATTCTCCATTGGAAGGAGGCCATCACTTCTAGGTTGAAGGCCATCGCTAGTAGGTTGGAGGCCATCGCTAATAGGGTGGAGGTGGAGGCCTTTGCTATTAGGTTCCCTTTGAACGTTCTTTTCTTGCTATGAGGAATGGCCTCCACCGCAGACACCCCTAAGCAAGGCCGGCCAGAATCTCGCCCTCGCCTTCGCTCCGCGCGAACTTGCCGCCTCCGCCTTCTCCTTTGCCAGGCTCTGCAGTCCAATCACCGTGCCAAAGGGACCTGCCAACGCTGCCCTTGGGCCCTCGTGAAACATGATGCGGAACGAACCATGAAGAGGAGAATACCAGCCTCAGCACCTTTGAGAATAACATGCTGAAGCAGCCTTTGGGTAATCACAATGACCGGGAACTCCTGGGTCTTGGTCCTCATACCTCATGCGAATGATCCAAGAATGTAGATGCTGAGTCTCCTTTGGGATAAAAGTGATACAAGAACCAGTTGAGCTGGCTTAAAGCCCTGCTTCTCAACTGCATCTATATGAGATTAAACGAAAACCTCGTCCAACTCCAGTCTGCTGGCTGCGCTATGCTCCCACTTCGGTGTGCTGGGCGAGCACCGATCCGGGTGACGAACAGAAGAACAAAAGCATCGAATCCAACGAATCCAACGAAGACCGTGCTCCAATCACGAAAAGATTCATGTTTCCCCAAAAGGCCACCACCCATCCAAAGAGAAACATAAAAAAAGACACACAAACACACACCTCTTACACAATTTCCCTCCTTTCTAACTGACCCCAACAACCTACCCATCAGACCCCAAATCCACCCTCCACGCGACCGGCGTACCCGGTGTGCCCAGTGCCCACCTCGGGGATCCGCAGCTGGGCAGCGCCGCCCGTGAGACCCGACATCTCGGTGTGATCTTGCCTCGGAGAAGTCCGGTCCGGACGCGGTGGTCGATTGGGATGAATGGTGGACGCGGTGGATTGAGGGGTCCAGCTGGAAAGAGACGAATATCGATTCCAACGTCCTTGGTGTTTAGGAGGAACAGCAGGCATTCCTTTTAACAAGATTCCCTAGCTCTTGGTTGGCACATGTCGTAGAATCATCAAGCTCTAAGACAAGTTCAAGTCCTAGTCATCCACTTCCCCCGAAGCTATAAAGAGCCCCTGCCTCCCTCCGTCTCTCTCCCTCCCTCCCTCCCTCCCTCCCTCCCTCCCTCCCTCTCTCTCTCTCTCTCTCTGTCTCTCCCTCTCTCGGCGGTTCAGAAGAAAACCCCGAACCCCTTACTCATGTCGAGCGGCCACGCCCTGGCTGAGGAGGACCAGTACTGCACCATGACCGAGCTGGCGAAGCGATTGGCCTGAAACAAGCCGAGTGGGCGGCTAAAGACTGGAACAGTGCTCATTGTGCTCATGGAAGAAATATAGTATGTTTATCTATATATATATATATTTTTCTTTATATGTGCACATATGTGCTTTTTGCTCATGGAAGGTTGGTGTGGTGTCTGTTTGTCTTCCTGGCCAGAAGGATCCAAGGTCTCCCCAGTGATGCGACTGGTGTGAGGTCAAGGCTGTCCTTGAACCCCTCCATACCAAGAATCCTGTCCTTGAACAAATGTTCATGTGAACAGATTTTAAACTGAGGATTTCCTCACTGCTGCGAAAAGGGGCAGTGCCAAGACAAGGGCACTTATGATCGTAGGAACACTAAGTGCTTGATTGGATTGTGCCCTCTGGCATGAAGATTGATTGTATTGTATCAACCCGTGTAGGATATGAAATTGTACAATCAATTGCACTGAAAATCACAAGGTGCTGACTTTGCCCAAGACGATGAAATAATGATTCGTTGCTTTGCTGAAGAGTGCACCGAATCAGACGAAAATGCTCCGTGGTTGTTGACCCAAAGAGCGCCGTGAAGGGCGAACCGGAACCGAAGAGTTGGACACTTCGAACGGCTGGGAGCTCTCACTCCCTCACTCTCGTCAAGAACGGCTGTGCTGCGGTGTCTGGTTGTTTCTCACAATTCACAGAAAAGGATGAGGTCAGCTGGGCCGAATCCTCAGGATTTTCCAATGGCTTCAAGAAGTTTATGGCATCGGGGGGGTTGTTCCTATTGGGGATTGGATTTGGGTTTGCACAGAAGAACCCGCAGCCGCAGGGTCTGAATACTTCGGCCAATGCCGATTCTACCCGCCCTCCAACATACTAGCGATGGCCTCCAACCTAGTAGCATCCTTGCTCCTAGTAGCGATCCTAGTAGTAAGGCCAGGAGCCCCTAGTAGCGTCCGATCGCTCCTACTAGTACTACTTGCGATGGCCTCCAACCAAAAAAAGGAAATCACGTTGGACTCTGAACTCTGCGCCTCAGAGCTTTGATCCAAGGCAACACATTGCGGAGCCTCGGAGCCCCTCTGCAGGATGCCTCGGAGAACGTGCAGATCTACCGAGCAAAGGGATGAGCAACGTGAGTCTCCCTTGTGTCAACCCAAGCCTGGAAGACCTCAAAAGAAAAAAAGAACTAAGCACCAAACTGCCTGGCATCCCAAGTGGAAGGTGACCTATGTCGCATTCTACGTGGATGTCCATGGATGTTTATGGATGTCCAGATGAAACACCGCCCTTCTTCATGTGCGCTGGGTCGGTCACCGAGTGGCAGGGTTGTTCTGTTATGATTCCACTTTTGTGGGAACCCCCAAAAAGCAAGTTCCTGAGAGTTCGCTACTAGGCTGGAGGCCATCGCTGGTGGGTTGGAGGCCATCGCTACCCCTGAGTTTTTCCTCATTGAACAACTTGAGCCTCGATGGCTTCCACCTTAGTAGCAAAGGCCTCCAACCTTAAGAGCGATGGCCTCCACCCTAGTAGCGTTCCAAAATACCGGAGTGTACTGGTGTTTCTGGGCATTTCCAGGTCTTCAACAGCCCATGCAGCTTTGCCCAGCTGGGCTTTCCAAACCCACTGTGGCAAAGCCACCCGCCGTGTCGACCTTGCGCTGGGCGTACTCGGCATGGAGCATCTTTTGCTTCTGGCGTTTGTTTAGGCTATGCTGCTATACCCAATCAATGGTCACCTCAGATCTTGGCTCGAATCCCCGCCATCTGAAAACGGCACACGGTGGACACCTGTCAACGGTTTACGCTTTTGCTATCTTCTCATCTACCCAGATAGGTGCACGGAAACCACCACATGTTGGGGTGCCAAGACCGGCTGTTGAGGGTTCAGTAAATTTACTGTACATGGGCCATGGGCCGGTATGATATGGGGAATCCTCCAAGGTATGGAACCTCAATCGCGCAGATCGCCCTCAGATCGCCATGGCCATCCCCTTTTCCCTGTCGTTCTGTGCCTGGACTTAGCCAGGCCTGCTGTCGATCAAGGTGCAAAGCCGTCCGCACTGCCTTTGGCAAGCCTTGCCCTTGGTCAAAGAGGTGGGTTTCAGACTGTACACTCCCACAAAGCCACAGGAACCCGAGTCACTGAACCCAAACAACCGTGGGTCCATGGGTCCGTACAGGAGCTCTTTCAAGAACAGCTCCACTAGCTCCATGGGCTCCAAGAAACTCTGGTTTCGTCTCAGGATTGGAACACAAATCAGAGTTCTCTCCGCCAGCCTTCGGGAGTTCCTTCACATCGTTTCCTGATTGACAAGGTGTGCGGGGATTCTCATTCAATCGAATGAGGTCGTAAGAGATGGGGTCGTGTCTCAGATGGGCATCGGAGCAAATCGTTGGAGTATGCCATCCGACCAAAGCAAGTGGAGATGCGCCGCCGCGGAGGGCGAGTGTTCGTCGACTCACGATGGCCCACTTCAACAGGTTTGTTCACCACCTCAGCAGCGAACCTGAAGTCATTGATCCCGCAGGTGAAAAAATAAGCATATTCTCTGGACAACTTCGCACGTTCATTGTTTTCGGAGAAGTCCGCAAGCGCGAGGAAAGAGTTTACCGGAAAGATTGAAGAACCATACAACATGTTGGGTAAACGGGGGGGGGTTAGCCCCGGACGCAACGCACCGAGGGTCAAAAAACCTTTTTTTTACAGGGTAAAGTGGCTTTCCGGACACTCAACTTATCGTCTTGCAACTCATGAGTTGCAAGACGATAAGTTGAATGCATTTTGACGGACGTATTCACCGACCCGCCTGCTCCTTGTCCATGGCGCGAAAGTGATTTTCCACCTGCTAGGCATTAGTCTTGGTCCCAGTGGAGCCATTTCAGCTCAGTATACATGGCAGCTGGCGGACAAGTGTCTTGCACAGCTTCTCTATGTATCCTGACAGCCTCGAGCATTGCGTCCAACCCCGGATGTTGGCTGAACCACAACGCTGCGAGGCCTTCAACGTGCTGGCGTTGCAGCTTCGCGTCGCAACGGCCAAGCAAAAACATTCTACGCAGTGATTTTTTCATCACTGCTGCCAAGCTTTCTGTACCTTGGTCTCCACCAACGACCGTAACTTTGCTCTGTTTCTCGAGCAGCATGGGTCTGGCAGAAGAAGAGGAACGGATGGAGCTACCTTGCTTCAACGCTTGCAGGGCCTTCTTTGGAAGGTGTCGTTTGCTCAGAGTCACAGTTGGCGTGTACTCGCTCTGGGAGTGACGCGCCGCTGTCAAGTTCATCTCCTTCATAGCACCTTGAAGGCCCTTCGAAGCGTCACTGCCCACGATGTGTTTGGTGCTGCAGAGCTTCGTCTTCAAGAGTGGCAACACTTCATCCTTGCTCTCAGGCGGTCCCAGTGCGTCTCTCTTGGTCTTCCGGTCTGGCAACGGCAGAACTGCTTGCTGACCACTTGTTCTATGCTTCAGCAACAAGAAGCGGCCTGCGTGGATCATGGAGGCTGGCTTCTTCGAAACAGGCTTTCCAGATCGCGTTGATGGCTTCTTGCGCAATTGGGACTTGGCTTTGGCAGTCAAAGTCCTCTTGTCAAAAGTCTTCGACTTGCCAAAAGTTCTCGTACCGTCGATGTCCACCATCCCAGGGTCCAAGCACATGGCTTTACTCTCCTGCAGTTGTGCAAAGGCAGCGCACACACGTAGCTGTCAAAAAGTCAAATCAGTGTAGTCTTGTGAGCGACCCAGCACATGCCATGATGAATCCTGAGGGCACTTCAAGGAACACAAGTACGCAGCACAGACAAAGGCTTTGCAGTCCTTGGGATGACCTCCTCTGAGACGTCCTCCAAAAGGGAGTGAAGGAGAATTGCCAGGAGTAAAGACGTGGTCTCTGGCCCGAACATTGTCGGTTGACACATCTGTAAGCTTGTGTCTGCGACTCTGGAACCATTGCAGCTTTGCACACCCAACAACGTCTGTTGCGCCGATCTCCTAACACACCAGCCTTCTTTAGAATGGAAAAGCATTTCTTCTCCGGCCAAGACAGAACATCAGATCTATCAAAGGTTGCGGAGACTCCGTCAGATCTATCAAAGGTTGCAACTCACGTCGCTTGGACGCGAGCTCGGGTGAGTCCAGCACGGGCATGGTCGTCTGTGTCGTCCGCCGGGGCGTATGCTCGCGAGGCTCCGGATCCGACGTGTCCATCGCGGGAGTCACGCATGGCGTGTCCATGGGAGGCTGTCTAGTACTAGAATGCTGGACATTGACATGTCTGTTTAGTTGAACATCTCTAGTTTGCAACAAACGCCTGGAAAGAACCCATAATGCACTCCACATCACAGGTGTAAAAGACATATGGTGTCGATGAAAGTGAGAAGTCCAAACCTCAAACAAAACCAAACGAAAAGCGACGAGACGGTCAAACCGTAGCGGAGAACGACAGTTTAACAATGCAACCTCCTGAACAAAAGAGATAGTCGGATCTGAGGCACGGGTACAAACGTCTATGTGAGCGTCCAAAAGAAAGGGGTCGGCCGTAAAAAAACCTTCAAATGCTCATTGGGGGAAGGGCACCTCAAACCGACAAAACGCAACAACAGAACCAACGACAAACACAAACAAACCTCCAAAGTAGAACCCGTCATGTCCTGTAAGCCGAGACAAGCGGGTCGTCCAGCGAACGAATCGTGACCAAGCGAACCTACAAGGAACCGGGTGGACCAATGAAGTACGTAGACGATGTACGCGAGTCGTAACCAGGATGAAACTGACCCCACCCCCCCTCACCCCCCCGCAAACCCGAAAAAACCAGACCACATGTTACGGGCGGGGCTAACCCCCCCCGTTGACCCAACATGTTGCTTTCCCTACAATCCAAAGAAGCTCATCGATCTTCATTTCGCTGTAGGGCATGTTCTCCTCAGTCAGCAGCTTTTCTAGAGGCTCCGCCAGGCATGACAAGCTATGCTACACTCAACCCCTAAATCAGACTGGCAGAAGGCTCACTAACTGGGAGGACCGTTCATCTAAAGCCTAACATTCGGCAGAAGGACCAGACCCCGCTCTGGTTCTGCATCTTTTCGGATTCCATAAATTCTGGAGATATACAGCATATTATGCGTATATGATCAATGATTCATATTGATTCATATGATCATATATGCATGCAATGTTTGTATAATTAAGTGTCTCAGGAAAGCTCTCTGGGTCTATCAAACTCTGTTGCCCTGTTCGTCGTCAAGGGCTTCAGTCGATATAAGTCGCGAAGCGCTCGGAGTTCAGCGGTTCAAAATTGGGCGAGCCACGCTGTCCAAAAACCGGACCTCTCCTTGCTGGGAGGTACCAAGGCTTCCATCCATCTGCCGCACCACCACCAGTTCGCAGCCAGCGCGGTGTGCCGCGCGTGTTTGCTCCATCCACTCCTTATACCAAGCACAGCCCCAGATCTGAGGGCTGCCGTAGAGGTGGTGGCCTTAGAATGTGTGGAAACACCTACTGCACGTATGCTCAAAGTATAGGCATAAAGTGGCAGAGTGATTGCAACATGCATGGTAAATGGGAAACAATTTGAACTTACTGCCTCACTGGTGTCAGGACAAAAAGGCACAACCCCATGTGATCACTGGCCTATAGATGAAATGATGAAACAATGAAACATAATCTCGAAAAAGGCCTCTACATTGCAATCTTCAGGGTTCATACTTTTGCATTATTACTTCAACACGCTAATCCATGAAAAAGAATATCATCAGCAAATTCCAGGTCGCAGTGGCAACCCTTTTTGTATGGCACATGTTCGCCATAGCCAGGAGCATTGCCATCTGGCAGGAAGACGCAGCTTGTCACTAGTTTGCTGCCGTGCTTGCAGGACACGCGAGTGAGTTCGTTCCAGCCGCACCCATGAACTCCAGGGAAACTGACCACGGCCATTTTGCCTTTCTGGAATGCATCCTGAAGCACTAACGAGACTAAATTCGCAGAAACAAGAACACAACTCAGGTGGTGAGGACTGTGGTTTATCTCCGTTCAAAGACTGCTTTCACTTAGACATCGACATCACACAGTTCAGTAAATCCCAGCTCGGCCTGGCTAAGGGGAGGTCTGAGACTCGGAAATCGTTCAGTCCGGCGAAGCGATTTCTTCCGCAGATTCTTATCCGGATCATCTGAAAAGATGGTTTGTTTCTGGTTCAGTTCGCTGTAAAACCCTTGATTTGATATGCTTCGAAACCTCGAATCTCCGGCCGCGTGTCCTGGGCCCCAACCTCCACCTCCCACCCCTTTCCCACTCGGTACCCCTCTCCAGCGGCTTCGACCTTTTGACCAGGAAACACATGGAGAGCCACGGAAGGTGATGCGGTCCGACTTCTCCGGATTCTTCTTCACGATTTCCTGGGTGGCCATCGCTCGCTACAGGGTGGTGGGCGGCCAGGGTGGGCTACTAGAGGTTCCCTTGGCTAGCTGGCTTGGAGGCCAGTGCTGACTGGGTGGGCCATTTCCTCGGGTGAACCCACGCGGTAAACGTCGCACCGACCTCCAGCGAGCATCCACCCCTCTGGAGTCCAAAAAACCAACACAAGAGATCGCAACAAGGTGTTCCGAACAGGGAAAAGAATGTGGGTCTTTTCCATTGTGCTTCTGGTGGAGTGTGGAAAAAGAAACCACTCAGTCATTGGGATTTGCATGGATTTGCAACACTCAAAAGGTATAGTCCAAAGGCATCGTTGGACAGGAGGGCTTCATCTACTTAGGGGCACTGAGTTGAGCCGAATGTCCATACCTCTCACCCAGCGCCCAGCCTGTGAAGAAATTGAAGGAGATTGTGAGTTTAGAGAGCAAATGAAGTTAAGGGGATAAGGCCCATCACCCGTCCGCTGAGTTTCTTTGGCCACGCGTTCCCCAAGCTGCTGCGTCAGTTGATGCATGGAGTATCCATCGCAGAAGGTCACATGGCTGCTCGCATAACCGCCACCGGTGGTGGCCATTGTCTCAACAAGCACCCAAAAAGACTGTCCACAAATAGAATTAGGGTGGAGTGGTGGAGGCCATCGCTACTCGGGTGGAGGCCATCTGAAGAAATAATCCCCGGTTCAGCCCTTTGGACTTGACTCTACACATCCAAACTGTGTCGCAATTGGTTGTGCCATTAGAAGCCCTACCATTGCTGAATCTCAACATGTGACTGAGTGTCATATATAGCTACTCCCAGACTTGATGCCCACGCTGAGCTGCGCAAAAAAATCGTTTCGGCCAAGAAAGTAGTCCTTGTTCTAGCTAACGTTAGGTTAGTCAGATCCAAAAGAGCAGTGGAAAACTGTCTGCCTTCCTACCTCTGCTATTTCCAAAATCGATCCATGGACAGTCTCCACACACCGCCCAGGTCGTGTTTGCACAGGCCAACGACTAGGCAGCCATCTGGTGAGACCCTGCCTGGTCAGTGAGCCATTGGAAGCCAATGAAGCAGGAGTCGCCTGAACAGACCACGGACCGTGCACGTCTCTCATGAAGCACAGATTTAACCATCAGAGAGATCCGCAAGCCCTCGAAAAGTATTGAAAGTACTGGTGGGCAGCTGGAGGCTCCCTGTTTTCTCAGAAGGCAGTGGATTTGTATATATGTTGAGAAATCAAAAACCCTCCCTTTCTCTCGCATCTCTCCCTGCCTGTGCTGGGGCACGGCACACCGGTCTCCCAGGCAACAGCATTGGCCTTGGCACTCAAGAGGTTCAACGTGTAGGTTGGAGGCCATCGCTGGTAGCATCTCTAGTAGGTTGGAGGCCATCGCT